GGCTGTTGCGGCCATTTGGGGAGTGAACCAGCAGATGGAAGACCTCTCTCTCTCTCTCTCTCTCTCTCTCTCTGCCTCTGCCTTTGCCTCTCTGTAACTCTGCCTTTTTTTTTTTTTTTTTTAAGATATATTTATTTATTTGAAAGGCAGAGTGACAGACAGGAGAGACAGAGAGAAAGTGATCTTCCATCTGCTGGTTCACTCCCCAGATGGCCCAACAGCTGGGGCCAGGCCAGGCCAAAGCCAGGAGCCTGGGATTCTATCTAGGGATCCAAGTACTTGGGCCATCTCCTGCTGCTTTCCCAGATGCATTAGCAGGGAGCTGGATTGGGACTAGAGCAGCTAGGCCCTGAACCTGTACTCCCTTACGGGATGCTGGCGTTGCAGGTGACAGCTTAACCCGCTGTGCCCCAGCGCTGGCCCCTGTGGTATTTAAAAACAAAGCGCGGCTGGCGCCGTGGCTCACTAGGCTAATCCTACGCCTTGCGGCGCCGGCACACCGTGTTCTAGTCCCGGTTGGGGCGCCGGATTCTGTCCCGGTTTCCCCTCTTCCAGGCCAGCTCTCTGCTGTGGCCCAGGAGTGCAGTGGAGGATGGCTCAAGTCCTTGGGCCCTGCACCCCATGGGAGACCAGGAGAAGCACCTGGCTCCTGCCATCAGATCAGCGCGGTGCGCCGGCCGCAGCACACCGGCCGCGGCGGCCATTGGAGGGTGAACCAATGGCAAAGGAAGACCTTTCTCTCTGTCTCTCTCTCTCTCTCTCTCTCACTGTCACCTGAGAGGTGATGACCACTCTCACCACTGCAATTCAATATAGTTCTGGAAGATTTCCCCACAGCTACTAGGCAAGAAAAAGAAACTGAAGGTAGGAGATAAGGCCTGAACAAAACAGCAATATTAACAATAATATCTTAATGTCATCCAGTACCCAGTTGACGTTCAGTTTTCCTTGTCTCAGAAAGGTCCTTTCACGGGTGGTTTGTTCAAATCAAGATTTAACAAGGGCTGCTGGCTGCGTTTTGTTGATAGTTTCGTAATCGCAGGCAGTTCCCCTGGCCTAGGTTGTTTCAGGAAGAACTCTTTCTTTTTTTTTTTTTTTGACAGGCAGAGTGGACACAGAGAGAGAGACAGAGAGAAAGGTCCTCTTTTGCCGTTGGTTCACCCTCCAATGGCCGCCGCGGCCGGCACACCGCGCTGATCCGATGGCAGGAGCCAGGTGCTTCTCCTGGTCTCCCATGGGGTGCAGGGCCCAAGCACTTGGGCCATCCTCCACTGCACTCCCTGGCCACAGCAGAGAGCTGGCCTGGAAGAGGGTCAACCGGGACAGAATCCGACGCCCCGACTGGGACTAGAACCCGGTGTGCCGGCGCCGCAAGGCAGAGGATTAGCCTAGTGAGCCGTGGTGCCGGCAGGAAGAACTCTTACGATGTTTGGTGCCACCTGCCTGTGGGGTGGTGTGTGCTGGGTGGCCTCCTGAGTGTGCCATGTGCAGGGACTGGATGGGTCCAGCCTCAGTTTCCCTCACAGGGCCCCTGCAGACACTTGTGAAACAGCGGGTGAAGGGCCCGTGTCCATGTGGCTTGTTAGTTCTGGCTGCGGGCTGCTTGTTCAAGGTAAAGAGACTTGCAGGTGAAATGAGCGGTGTAAGAGACCACAAGGGGTCCCGTGGTGACTGGGAGTCCAGAGCGCGGCCCCCTTACCCTGGGACTCCGGTGAGGCCCCTCGGCAGGGTTCTGCGGAACACTGCCTGGAAATCCTCGGCCTGGACCTTCTGTTTGCAGCTGTGGGAGAGAGAGGCTCCTGGGGAGCCCGGCCCCACCCCGGTCAGCGAGGCTGCCGGGCACGGCTGGACCCTGTGTGCCCTCCGGCACCCCATCTCCACCTGCCTCCTGCTAGGTGTCCATGTCTCCAAAGGACATGTGACCACAGCGTGCCCAATAAAAAACCCTGTCTGCTACCCAGGATGGAGATGTGGGGAGGTGTGGCGTGAAGCCCAATCAGTCCGTCACTCGGTACCTGTTTCTGAAAAATACTCTCTCTCTCTCTCTTTTTTTAACCTTACCCTGCACTGCATAAGAGGACCATTTGCAATTGGTGAATAATTCAGCCCCCTAATAGGACACCTGCTGCGGGGTCTCTGGCGCCCCCTGCGTGGGAAGCAGCAGTGCACTGTGGCCCGGGTCGGCCGTGACTGAACCCTGGTGGCTGTCTCCAGCCAGGCTGTGTTCTCTGCCCAGGGATTTTATGGATGTGAACTGGCTCTCGGGCAGCCCTGAGTCTCCCTGAATCCACTTACCTACGAAAACCAGAGCAGGGGCAGGCCAGAGCCAGGAGCCAGGAGCTCCATCTGGGTCTTCCTCCTGGGTGCAGGGACCCAAGTACTTGGGCCATCGTCTGCTGCCTTCCCTGGCACATGAGCAGGGAGCTGGATCAGAAGCAGGGCAGCTGGGACTCAAACTGGCGTGCTGGCATCGAAGGCCGCAGCTTAACCTGCTGCACCCCAGCCCCCCCCCCCCCCCCCGAGCCAGTGTTGAGTAAGAAGATGAAACAAAGGGAAAGGAACTGTGTGTATTTCTGTATTGCAGTGTAAGAAGTGTACTTAGGATGCCTTAATTCTTTAAGAAAATAGTGACCTTTTTAGCGTCACGGTAGCTTCTGTTTTCACTCCAAATAATTCTCTCTTTCTCTCTTTTCTCCCTCTCTCCCCTCTCCCTCTTCTTCTCCTTGTCTCTCCCTCTCCCTGCTTCTCTCTCCCTCTCCCCACTCCTCTTCCCTTTCTCCCCCTTCCCTGCCTTCCCCCTCCCCCATTCCTGTCTCTCTCTCCCTCTTCCCCCTCCATCTCCTGCCCCCTCCTTTCCCTCCTCCTCCCCTCCTTCCCCCTCTCCCTCCCTCCCCCTTTCCCTCATCTCTGGCTAGACCTTTCTTTCCGGCTTGCATTTCTTACCTGCTGTGTGTGAGCCCTGTGGCTGGACAGGATCTTAGAGACCTCTTTGCCCATACTCCATGTTTTACAAATGAGAAGCAGTGGTCCAGAGACACAGGTGACTGGCTGAGCCTCCTGTGGGATCCAGGCCTCTTCCCAGACTGGAGGCGGCTGGCTGGGGAGTCTCCGTGTGGGTGCTGGTTTGTCCTGATGTGGGCCTGCCTTAACTGCCACCAGCCTTTACCACGAGGGTGGGCAGATAACAGGGCTCCCTGTGCACGGACTGCCCTCCCGTTCCTGATCGTCGAACACAACCTGTTACAAGCCCGTGCACTTAGTACTTGCGTGATCTCGTCAGGGGAGCCCGGCAGCTTCTCTGCGGGGCCGGGCAAGCTTCGGGGTCCTTGTGGGTGTCCTTGTAGAGACCGCGTGTGCTCCCCGCCCCCACCCCGCCCCATGAAAGTCCATGCTGAGATTGTGGTGTCCTAGGCCGTTGTATCACAGAGTCGTTCCTTCTGGGCACCTGTCTCGTGATGGGGCCGGCACGTCTACATCTAGTGCTGAGTCACAGTGGGTCTGCCATTGGCAGGACCTCCGTGTCGCCTTCACTTATGATGCAGCAAAACCTCAGGGTGCTGAGGCCATGCCTGCTCAGTGCTTAGTCACAGGACAGAGCTTGGGCAGGGAGAGGCCCCAGCCTCTGGACAGAGCCTTTGATAAAGATAAGAGGATAAAGGTCCCTGGGCGCTGAGTTGGGACGCACCCTGATGGCCAACCTCAGTGGGAATTGGATCCAGGAAATGGGCAAGAAAGTAAACAAAACCAAAACTTGCCGGTTCTGGGTCCTTCTTCTGACAAAGCCGCAGAGCCGTGGCGGCACAGCTCGGGGTGCTGAGTGTCTGCATGCCGGTGTGTTTTCCACTCATTCCTGCCAGAGCTGCAAACCCCCTGTGTGTGTCTCACTGTGCCCTGCTCCCCCAGTACTGTGGGCCCCGGGAGAAGGAGCAAGCCAGCAACCAGCTGCCCTGACCTCCTGTTTGCCCTCAGCCTCCTGCATGTGGAGGCTTCTCCCTCAACCCTGCGGGGCTGGCCCTGGTGGCCGCGTCTGGGTGTGGACCCCGGGCAGATTCAGACCCAGGTTTTGGATCCATCAGTCTGCCCCTGCAACTAGCTGCCTTGGCCCTGCTCCTGTAGGCTCTGCACAAGTGCCGAGCACACAAAGATGAGAACGGTGCTGTGGTCCCTGGGGGACACTGCAGACCAGTGCTGCACCCTTGGCCTGGGTTTGTTCTCTTGGCTGGGGCGCATGTCGTCGGGATTGCTGGAAGTTTTCCTTTGCGATGGCCCCGTCTATTCTGGGAGGTCCTCTGCCTGGCTGACTCAAGGCGCCCTGAGTCTGTTACATTGCGAATGGTGGCAGTGTAGATGGAGCGGGACAGATGTTGCTGCCCAGACTTGGGGCACCCAAGGAAGGAGGATGTCCGGTGAGCGGGGAACGCACAGGGCTGGGAGGGGCAGGCTGCTGCTGGAGGCTTGATGGCAGCCTTGCTCCCGCATTCGCTGAGCAGGCGCTGGGAGAGCCTCTGGCTGCCGCCCGTGCAAGACGGGGCAGGCCTGGCTGCTGCTTCCAGCCCTGCTCCCTGGGCCTGGAAGGAGGAGCGGGCTCAGGGGCGGGCTGTGTCATGTGAAGAGGGCCCCGTGGCCAGCGGTGAGTGGGTCAGAGTACAGGCCAGCTGGCTCTCCCAGGTGTGGGTGGGCTTGTGTGAGTTGTTGGTGGGTTTGCAAAGCTGGCTTTTTCCTGTTGGGAGTCTGAGAGTGAAAGCTGAGATGCTGGAGATGAGAGAGTGAGGCCTCTGGGGAGTTGGAGATGCAGTCCCTGCAGTGGGCTTCTCTGTGGGGTGCAGGGAGTGGCCGAGGAGTGAAGTCGTGAGTGACCATGCTCTCCGTTGGTGACCCCATGGCCACCTCACCTAGCCTCTCCAGGCCTGGTGTCCTCTTGTCTTCCACGGGATCTGTGATGCCGCCTCCCTTCTGGAGCTGGAGTGCCAGGCAGGCGTGTGTTACAGGTCGATGGCACACATACACCATGCAGTGGCATGTACACATGCTAGGCATCATTGGAGTGCCAACACATAGATGGCACACACATGTAGGTAGTGGCATGTGAACACGCTAGGCATCATTGGAGTGCCAGGCAGGTACGTGTTGCAGGTAGATGGCACATGCATGTAGGTAGTGGCATGTGAACACGCTAGGCGTCATTGGAGTGCCAGGCAGGTGCGTGTTGCAGGTCGATGGCACATGCGTGCAGGCAGTGGCATGTGCACACGCTAGGCATCATTGGAGTGCCAGGCAGGTGCGTGTTACAGGTAGATGGCACACACATGTAGGTAGTGGCGTGTGCACACGCTAGGCGTCATTGGAGTGCCAGGCAGGTGCATGTTGCAGGTCGATGGCACACACGTGTAGGCAGTGGCATGTGAACACGCTCGGCGTCATTGGAGTGCCAGGCAGGTACGTGTTGCAGGTAGATGGCACACGCGTGCAGGCCGTGGCATGTGAACACGCTCGGCGTCATCGGAGTGCCAGGCAGGTACGTGATGCAGGTAGATGGCACACACATGTAGGTAGTGGCATGTGAACACGCTAGGCGTCACTGGAGTGCCAGGCAGGTGCGTGATGCAGGTAGACGGCACACGCGTGCAGGCAGTGCTGGGTCGGTGTGTGTTGCAGGTCGATGGCACACACATGTAGGCAGTGGCGTGTGAACACGCTAGGCATCATTGGAGTGCCAACACGTAGATGGCACACACATGTAGGTAGTGTCATGTGAACACGCTAGGCGTCATTGGAGTGCCAGGCAGGTGCGTGTTGCAGGTAGATGGCACACACATGTAGGTAGTGGCATGTGAACATGCTCGGCGTCATTGGAGTGCCAGGCAGGTGCGTGTTGCAGGTAGACGGCACACGCGTGCAGGCAGTGCCGGGTCAGTGTGTGTTGCAGGTCGATGGCACACATGCAGGTGACAGGTGTGCACATGCTAGGCATCGGCATTGCATAAGCACATGGTCTGTTTTCTCGTTCCGTCGTACCAGCAGCCCTTGAGAGGTAGTGATCTAAAAATGAGGACCTGGTGGGGGCGGAGGCCAGGTGACTTGGGGATCAGTTTAGGGGGGCGGATCAGAGCCAAGGTACTGGGCCTAAATCATGGCTCTGCCCGAGGGTGACCCTGGACAAGTCACTTTCATTCTCTGCCTTTGTTTGTTTCCTCATCCGTGCAGTGGAGTCAGTGAGACGGCTTTGTATTGCGAGCGAGGATTAAATGAGCTGCCGATGGGAAGTGTGCAGGGCAGGGCCTGGCACCACGAGCCCGTGTGCGCACGGGCTGTGGTCTTTATTGCCTGGGCCATGGTCATTTGTTTCCCACACAATCCCACACTCAGGGTGTGGTCTACAGCCCTAGGCTGGTTTGCAGACTCTCGGTTCCTGGTCCGTGATGAGCTGTGCGTAGAGACTTAGGGTAAATGTTTAGCAACCTTGAGAATAGCTTACCCTTGCTGGGACTCAGCGAGCACACGGCTTCAGGTGCTGTTGGATCACGCGGTGAGTGCCATGTGGCGTGGGTCACAGGACCACAGGACTGCAGACAAGAGGGTGGCAAGATCAGAGGGGGCTTGCGTCACTGCTGCCCACCTCTGGACAGCCAGCCTCCTGTGGGGAGCCTCAGCCAGCAGCAGCAGGGGGCATGGACAGCATGTTGTGGGCCAGTACGTGGCGACTCCAGGCGGTGAGGTCCCGTGATGGAGACTTTTATTAATGAGCAGTTGTCTCTGTTTCACTCCTGTGACGGGTGCTTTTCTCGTCTCTCCCCTGGCAGGTGTGGTTCAGGCGGCCTTCCACTCAGGAAGGCACAGGATCCCTTTCTACCTCTTAGACTGATGGGGACTGGAAGCTGGAAACTGTCGGTGGCAGGTGGGTGTGCCACCCCTGCTGCACGGCTGTCCTGAGCCACCAGCTCCTGTTTCTGCAGGGCCCGCGGGGAAGGTCCAGGATGCTCACGGCAGTGCCGCAGGAGGGGTGTAGAGGGTGGAGAGCAGGGCAGGCCGCCAGTGCGACCGTGATGTGTCTTGAAGCCCAGCGGTGCTCAGGGGAAGGTAAAAAATGCGGCGAGATGGGTAAGGCAGAGCTGGTATGTAAATGAATGCAGAAACAGTGCCCTGGGTTGCACGAGCAGAAAGGAGCAGACAGACAGAAGAGGAGGGGCGCCCATAGGCGCAGGAAGGGAAATGAGAAGTAAAAGGAAACACGAGAGGGAGCGGAGAAGACACGCTGCTATCTTTGAGGCAGGGCCCTCGGCTGTCACTCGGCTCCTGGCACCGTGGCGTCTGTGTGTCTGGGCAGAGCTGGCAACCTCAGCGTGGCCTCAGTAGGGTAATCCGCGGTGTCAGAGGCTGAGAAAGGCTGGGGGTGGGCAGCGTGGTTCATGGCACAGGTGGCACACTAGGGACATGGATGATTTTAATGATCTAGGTGATTGCAGGAGCAACAGGTGACCTGGTCTTTGATTAGTTTACTTTTACTTTTTTTTTTATTTTTTTTATTTACTTGAGAGGCAGACAGAGGAAGAGATAGAGATGAACAGGTGGAAGAGTGAGCTTCTGTCTGGTGGTTCACTCTCCAAATGCTCACAACAACTGGGGCTGAAGCCTGGAGCTCGGAACTCGATCCAGGTCTCCCGCGTGCGATGGCTAAGATCCAGTTGTCTGAGCTGTCGCTGCTGCTGCCTCCCAGGACATTAGGAGGTGGAGTTAGGAGCCAGAGCTCGTCCCCAGGCCGAGAATGCTCTTTTATTATTGTCCTGAATGTCTCTGGATTTTTATCTACTTTAAAGGCAGCACGACAGAGTGAGAGCGAGAGAGCGAGCAAGAGAGAGAGAGAGAATCTTCTATCTGCTGGTTCACTCCCAGATGCCTGTAATAGCCAGGGCTGAGCCAAGCTGAAGTCAGGAGCCAAGAACTCTATTTGGGTCTGGCATGTGGCCCAAGCACTTGAGCCATTGTCTCCTGCCTCCTAGGATGGGAAGTGGAGTAGCCAGGACTTGAACCAGGCACTCTGACATGTGACACGGGCATCCCAAGTGGCAGCTAAGCCTGCCGGGCTGAACGCCTGCCCCAAACCCAGGCACCTTAACCGCGAGGCCAAATACCCGCCCGTAGTGCGCATGTGCGTCAGTGATGCATACTCTTACCCTGGCCCTAGTGGAAATTCTGGGTGGTCACCCCTCCAGGCAGTCAGTTAGGAAAACATGTGCTCAGTTCCTTGTGCTGTGGACTGCAGGTCATGGGACACGTAGGACGGGGACACAGGAGGCAAAATTTGCTTTAGGAAGGGGAAATCCCATGTGGCATCAGGAGCAGCGTTCTTTCGGGGAGACAGCGCGCTCCTGCTGGTGGAGCGGCGGGGGGTGCCTCCACCAGTTCCTCGTCCCCGCCACCTGCGGCCCTTGCAGCTCTAACTGAGCTGGGCTTCGGACTTTAGATTTGGGGCTGGCAATTCAAAGCAAACGAAACAAAATATTACAATAGGGTGAGTGTCCCTCACAAGAAACACAGGAGACCAGAAGTGTTCCAGATTCCGGGACATCGGTGTAGACCCTACCCGTGAGGCATCCCTGCTCTGCAAATCCAGAATCTGCAGCCTCCGAAACCCAAGACCCTCTGAGCGTCGGGTCGGGGCTCTGCAGCTTCTGGATTTTGCACCTTACTGGATTGTGGGTTTTCAGAGTAGGGACCCTCAGCCTGTATGCGATTAACCAAGTTATTGTAGAGCATTTAGAAAACGCTGGGGACAAAACAGAGCAGCAGTTGTAGGTAACGTTATTAACCAGAGATAGCCACTGGAGGCTTTCTCTCTCTCTTTTTTTGATCATAGCATGAAAAGGGAGGTGGCTCTTTGGGGTAGCAGCTGAGACGCGGCGTGGGACACCCAAATCCCATCCTGGAGTTGCCTGGGTTTAAGTGCTTGCCCTGTGCCTGATTCCAGCTTCCTGCTACTGTGCATCCCGGGAGGCAGCAGTGGTGGTGGAAGGCTTGGGTCCCGGCCACTCATGGGAGAATGAGATTGAGCTCCTGGCTCCTGGCTTCAGCCTGGCCCAGCTCTGGCTGTTGCAGGCATTTGTATAGGAAGACGGGACAGCTCTGATCAGTGAACCCGTGGATGAGATCTCTCTCTACCCCCTGTCTGTCTCTGTCTCTGCCTTTCCAACAGATAAGAAAAATAAATAGATTTAGAGAGTAAAAAGGTGGTCTTTTTTTTTTTTTTTAAAAAAAAGACTTATTTATTTTTTTGAAATGCAGAGTTACAGAGAGAGAGAGAGAGATCAATCGATCGATCGATCAATCTTCCATCTGCTGGTTCACTGCCCAAATGGCTACAACTACTGCGGCTAGGCCAGGCCAAAACCAGGAGCCAGGAGCTTCTTCCAGGTCTCCCACATGGGTACAGGGGCCCGAGCACTTGTGCCATTTTCCTCTGCTTTTCCCAGGTGCATTAGCAGGGTGTCGGATTGGAAGTGGAGCAGCCGGGACTCAAGCCAGTGCCCATATGGGATGCTGGTGCTGTAGGTCCTGGCTTAACCTGCTGTGCTACAGTGCCAGCCCCCAGGGGGTTGTTTTTAATGAGTGCCCTGTCAAGATTAATGTCCCCAGTTCCCCTTGACCAGAGATCAGAGCTGTCCCGTCTTCCTGTACAAAGGGCACCGCAGTGCAGCCCTGCATTCACAGGTCTCTGTCCACCTCTTTGTCTCTTCACACTGAGACCGGGCCAGGGGTGCTGTGGGCATCAGAGGTGTGGACGTGGCTGAGGCTGTGCATACAAGTTGCCCGGCTGCCCCGTGCTGATCCTGAGTCGCTGCCGGGTTTCTCAAGGTGTGCTCTTCGCATGGCTCCTTCAGAACCCCCTGGGCAGCTTCTAGAAGGCGACTCTGGGGTCGGGTCCCCAGGAGGTCGTTTGCACAGAGGCCTTTGGGAAGTGGCACATGGTGTCTGTACCTGCCCGGGAAGGGACGCAGACAGGCCACACCTGTTCCCTCGCACCTGAGGCAGCGCCGCCACTTGAGGCCTGGTCCAGGGACAGCCAGGCCGGGAGACCGTAGCTGGGAGATGCGGCTCTGCGGGCCTCTTTCCTCAGACGGAAGTGGGGGCTTCGCGGTGGCTGTCTGGCATGTGTCTTACCAGTGTCCCCAGGGGAGACGGCCCTCACAGCTGGCTTTGGGGCGAACGTCTGGAGAAGTGGGTCAGGACAGAGAGCTCCTCGCTCTGCCCCTCCCTAGGGAGCCAGCTGTTGGCCCGGGCCCACCCAGGCCCTGGCATCTCTCCAGGTCGGCAGAGGAGCTGTCTGTGTGCCTCGGCTGGTGCCTAGGTTTGAGGGTGTCAGGTGGTGTGGGGGCGCCACTCAGCCAACGTGGGGAGGACGCAGAGGACGCCCCAGGATGCCTCTGGTGCTGCCGCTCGTAGCTGCACAGTCTCTGTCCTGGAGGCCAAGGCCTCACTGTGTGGGGCGTGCTGCTTCCTTGCACTGGGCTGGGGAGGCCAGGTGAGTCGCCCAGGGGCAGGCAGCCGAGGAGGCGCTGTCTGGCAGGTGCAAGCCGCGGGGCTGCTCTGCACGGCTGCTCACGCCTGCTCTGCCTGCCCTCTGTCTCCTGGGGTGTGCTCCTTGGCGTATTCACACAGCCGTGCTGTGGCGGTGTCAGCGAGTGAACGGCCCACACGAGGAGCCCACGGCAGTGAGCTGGGCCCTGATGTGCCGGGCCCATCCAAGGAAGGGAGCGTGGGCTGAGGGCCAGCCTGCTGAGGGAGGTAGCTTCAGAGCCGGGCTTTGAGGGCTGGGTTGAAGTCCGTCAGGTGCCAGGGAGACGCCTTCTGGGCAGGGGGAGCAGGAGCCCATGGGTGAGGCGGGAAGAGCCAGGCCTGCTGGGTGGCTGTGGACACGGGGGTGAATGGAAGGTGGCCTGGCTGGGAAGGGTTGGAGGAGCTGAGCTGAGGGAGGAAGGAGTGCCCGTGCCGCGCTGGCCTCCGTGTGTGTTTCCCTTGCTTCTGGGCCGTGTGGCTCCCACAGGTCGCCGGCTATCCGGGAGCCTTGGCTGTGTCCCCCGTATGACGCAGGCAATGGGGCAGCTTGAAAAGGAGTTTGTGTTGGTGATGTGAGCCACATGAGTACGTGGCAGGGAACTGGGCGTGCAGTCAGATGCGCAGTAAGCACTTGTCTCCTTCTTTGAATGTTGGGGTGGGACCGGGTGACTTTCCCGTGCTGAGCCACAGGGAGCCCGGAAGGCTGTGGCGTGTGGAGTTGATAAGCTAATGCCCCTTTGCTGTCATGCCTGAAGATGACGGTGGTGGTCTCGTGGGGGTACTCTGGGGGTGTAGGGTGGTGGGCGGGATGCATGGGCCAAGGCCAGGCTGAGGGGAAGCGTCTTGCCCATCACAGGCAGCCTGCTGGGGCGGGGCTGCTGCTGTGCACTGCTGGTGCTCTGGGCACAGGTTCTGGAGGGAGAGGCCAAGGCTTGAGCTGTGGTCTGGTGAGGCCTAGCCGCTCCAAAGGGATCCTGGGTAACCGGGCACTAGCTGAGTGGGAGTGGGATGCATGGCAGGAAGCCGGGCCACGATGGCCGTCGTGCAGCATCATGGTGGCCATAGCCAGCGTTTATCCAGCTCTTACTGTGTGTGCCTGGAAAGTGTTCGTGGTTCATCTCTTTTTTTTTTTTTTTTTGGACAGGCAGAGTGGACAGTGAGAGAGAGACAGAGAGAAAGAGAGAAAGGTCTTCCTTTTGCCGTTGGTTCACCCTCCAATGGCTGCTGCGGCCGGCGCATTGTGCTGATCTGAAGCCAGGAGCCAGGTGCTTCTCCTGGTCTCCCATGTGGGTGCAGGGCCCAAGGACTTGGGCCATCCTCTACTGCACTCCCGGGCCACAGCAGAGGGCTGGCCTGAAAGAGGGGCAACTGGGACAGAGTCCGGCACCCTGACTGGGACTAGAACCCGGTGTGCTGGCGCTGCAAGGCGGAGGATTAGCCTAGTGAGCCGCGGCGCCGGCCTTGTGGTTCATCTCAACCGGACCTCCCAGCAACCCTGAGATCCAGGTGCTTGCAAGGACACGCGTGAGAGCCCATGGTGCGGCAGAAATGACCTCACCATGTCTTAGTGTCGCTGCTCCGGCCTGGGGGACCACGGAGACCTCAGACATCAGCCTGCGGGTGGGCACGGGGGGCAGCTTGGCCAGGAAGTCGTCAGCAGGTGTGGAGGAGCAGCCCCTGCTGGCTTCCCCTGCCCGCTCAGTAGCCAGCAGCTGTCCCGGAGCTGCACACCTCTGTGCTGCATCTGGGGAGGGGGCGATCCCAGGACCCACTCGTGCCAGGGCTGGCCTTGAGCCAGAGCCCTTCCTCCTGGGGTCTTCCCGTGACCTTGCCCCGCATCGCACCGCCGCTTCCTCCCCTGCCCCACCTGCCGGCTGGGCCTCCCAGACGTGCACAGGCCTGTCGGGAGCCAGGCCTTGGAGGGGCAGGGGCCACTTCCTCTGGAGCATGGGCAAGCTCAGGCTTGAAGGCGCAGATCTGGGGCCCAGCCTCGTGACTCGTGCCCTCAGGAGCTGCTCCTGCGCGGGTGCCAGGTGGTGTCCTCCGGGGGTCGGATTAAAAGATAACTCTTGGCAGGAAGCAGCAGGCCTCTGCTGGCCTTACTAAGCAGGCCTGGGCGGCTCAGCGCGCCATCTCCTGGGCCCTGCTCCTGGCTGCCTCTGCCTCTCCTGCTCCCCCGTGCTGTCCCTCTGCTGCACGCCCGCCCTGGAGCCCAGGCAGGCAGCCCCGCCCCGTGCGCCTCACCTTGTCACCAACCTCCCTTCGCTTCCCTTTCCCTCCCGCCTTCTTCGTGAAGAGCAAAGTCCCAGAGAATCGCAGCCTCGAGGTGTGGTGGGAGGTGGAGATGCGGAAGCGGAGAGCAGGGCCCCCTCGCTGGGCCTGAGTGTGGCGCTGGGTGAGTCGAGTGTCATTCGTCACCAGCAATGACTGCTGGGAGGAAGGTGTTTGTCTGAGGCCAGGGCTTCCTGGCAGCAGTGCTGGCCGTGAGTTGGCCCGGATGGCCCCCGTTCCTGGACTGTGCGTGGGACATGTGTGGGTCTCTGGGAGGCCCACAGGGCTGTGCTGGCCTTGGGCAGTGGGGACGGAGAGGGCGGCCCTGTGGGAATGCCTGCCACCCTCGGGTAGCCCAAAATGCTGTGACGTGTTTTCAGACTTCTTCCCCATGTCTCCGTCTTGGTGTAGACCCTCACTTTGGGAATCATATACCTTCATTGTTTGACCCTGCCATTAGGAAGCGGTACCATAGATTCTCTGTCTCTCTCTCTCTCTCTTTTAAAGTTGCTCTTTATGTATTTTCCTAAACATTAATTTTCTAAGAGAGAAGATTCTTTTAGGAATATTTTCCAGGGCCTGCACTGTGGCTCAGCAGGTTAATGCTCTGGCCTGAAGTGCTAGCATCTCATATGGGCACCGGTTCGAGACCCAGCTGCTCCACTTCCGATCCAGCTCTCTGCTATGGCCTGGGATAGCAGTAGAAGATGATCCAAGTCCTTGGGCTCCTGCATCCATGTGGGAGACCCAGAAGAAGCTCCTGGCTTTGGATCGGCGCAGCTCCGGCTGTTGCGGCCATTTGGGGAGTCAACCATCAGATGGAAGACCTTTCTCTCTCTCTCTCTCCTTTCTGTGTAACTCTGATTTTCAAATAAATAAATAAATAAATCTTAAAAAAAGAAGGAATAGTTTCCTTTTTGGGTACTTAGCACATGGCTGCATACACAAGACTGACCTATTTTTATTTTTTATTATTTTTCATCCCTCTCTCTTTTTTTTAAGATTTATTTATTTATTTGAAAGGCAGAATTATAGAGTAGAGGCAGAGAGAAAGAGAGAGAGAGAGGTCTTCCATCTGCTGGTTCACTCCCCAAATGGTCGCAACAGCCGGAGCTGTGCTGATCCGAAGCCAGGAGCCAGGAGCTTCTTTTGGGTCTCCCACGAAGTGCAGGGACCCAAGCAATTGGGCCATCTTCTGCTGCTTTCCCAGGCCATAGCAGAGAGCTGGATTGGAAAAGGAGCAGCCAGGACTTGAACTGGCGCCCACATGGGGTGTCAGCACTGCCAGCGGCGGCTTTACCTGCTACACCACAGGGCCCCCCACCCCTTTTTAAATGATGTATTTATTTGAAAGGTAGAGTTGCAGAGAGAGAGGGAAAGACAGAAAGAAAGAGGGAGAGAGGGAGGAAGAGAGGGAGAGAGGGAAAGGGAGAGAGAGAGAGAGAGAGAGAGATCGTCCATCTGCTGGTTTACTCCCCAGGTGACAACAACGGCTGGGGCTTGATCAGGATGAAGAAGCCAGGACCAGGAACTCCACTCGGGTCTCCCATGTAGCCCAGAGACTATGAGGCACATTAGCAGGGAGCTGGGTCAGAAGTGGAGCAGCCGGGATGCTGGCATTACGAGTGGTGGCTTGACCTGCTGTGCCACAGCACCGGCTCCAGCGCCCCTTATTTTTAAATCAACAGTGAAATAGTGAAATAGTAAAAGTGATTTTTAAAGATTTATCCCAGTAGTGAGATTATTTGATTTTCTTCAGACTTCTGTTTTAAACAGATTTTGAGTGCTGGGATTTTTTCCTCCGAGTTGGCTTTGGAAACTGTTCAGAGCTGCAGACGAGTTGATCGTAAGGAAGCTCTTGTCCGGTGTTCACCTGGACTCACCGGCAGCTAGCAGCCGGCGCGCCAGCTGTCTTATCCTCTCTCTCTCTGCCTGTGACGCCACGTTGATAAATTTCCTGACCCATTTGGGAAAAATGGTGTGGCCACAAGGGCGCCTCTCCCTGGGTCCCAAAGTGTGCATCGCGCTCTCAGAGGGTGCGTGGGGAACCAGGACACAACTCCTGCAGCACCCAGAAACAGGGCCTGCTCACACTGCCCTGTGCACCTGTTAGACTCCTGACCAGCATGTTGTGCCTGGTGGCCATCTTTATGTTTTAAAAATACGGGGTATAGGTTTGGTTGTCGGTGATTGGCCTGTGCCTGTGAGGTAGCTGTGTAGGGCCCCTCTGCTCTCTGCAGGCTCTGTGGTCACAACAGCCCGGAGACTCTTGCAGCGGCTCCAAGTTGAAAGCTTCTGTGTTCTGAATCCCTTCCGTCTCTGAAATCTGACACCTCCAAGGCTGGACATTTTGAACAGTCTTGCTAAATTCCTTTAAGTACCCAGGGCTCAAATGTCCCATTGCCCACAGGGCTCCAGGTCGTTTGACATAAAACAGAGAAAGGCCAGGAGCCTCTCCTTCCGAAGCAAAGCTTCTCCTCCCCTCTCCTGGTAGTGTGGGGTCACTGGCCTCCTTAGCTCTGGGCACCCTCAGAGCACAGCACCACCTGCCAGGGGAAGAGGGTCTGGCTGGGGGCTGCAGACAGAGCGCCCCCTCACTCTCCCCTTCTCGCCCTATGCTGGCAGGTGGAGGTCTGTGAGCTGAGCTGAGCAGCACAGTGAGGTCTGTGCTGCAGAGAACGGAGGGAGCAGGTTCGGGGGAAGGCGGCCAAGTGGTCACAGCCAGCAGCATGCCACCTCCGCACAGCACGCTGCCCTGCCGCACCGAGAGCTTTGTTCCTTCCGGACTTAATCCAGCACCCACGGTGTTCAGTCTGAGTGCAAAGGAGGAAGCCAGGGCTCCACAGCCAGCTTTGTTTGCCCTTGGGTATGTGGCTGCCTCTCCCTCTCCCCTTCCTCCCTTCCTTAAGATTTATCTATTTATTTGAGAGGCAGAGTTACAGAGAGAGGGAGAGAGAGAGAGATCTTCTCTCCACTGGTTCACTTCCCAGATGGCCTTGACGGCTGGGCTGGGCTGGGCCAAAGCCAGGAGCCCAAAACTCCATCTGGGTCTCCTGCGTGGGTGGCAGGGGCCCAAGTACCCGGCCACCCTTCACTGCTTTCCCAGGCGCATTAGCAGGGATCTGGATCAGAAGTGGAGCAGCCGGGACTTGAACCGGCACCCACCTGGGATGCCAGTGTTGTAGGCAGCAGCCTAACGTATTGCGCCACAATGCCGACTCCCTTTATTTTTTCATTTTGAAATTAATTTAAAAAAATGACAAATTGTTTATATTTGTACACATACTGTTTTGGTTTTGAATATTTTAAAATTCGAGAGGCAGAGAGAGAGAGATGGAGAAAGATCTCCCATCCGTGGGTTCACTCCCCAGATGCCCTCAGCAGCGGGGGCTGGGCCAGGCTGAAGCCAGGAGCTGGTGGCAGGGGCCCAACCCCTGAGCCTTCCAGGGTCTGCATTCGCAGGAGGCTGGCACTGGGAGCAGAGCCTGCGTTTGAGTGTCCCAGGTGGCCTCTGAACTGCTGTGTCCAGGGCCCGCCCACCACTGAGTCCCTCCTGGCTCCCTGGCCCTGTGGGAGCTTCTGGGGCTGCAGAGGTCTGGTCTCTGGAACGCACAGTGTGCTGTGGGTGGTGGTGCACGAACAGTGGCAACACAGTGCATCAATGCAGTGTCCAGGGCGTGCATGCGGGGTGGGGTTGGGGCTCCCAGAGCACAGCCAGCGCCTGACCCGGCTGGAGCCTCAGTCTGCCAGTCTGTCCGAGGAGCGCAGTGAATGACCTGATCTTTAGGGTCCCTGCCATCTGTTACATCTCCTGGCTGTCCGTGGTGACCGGTGGCGTCTGAGGGCCTGTGTGTAGAAAGTGCTCCTGAGCCAGACAGACCTGTGTCCTCTGTGTTTATCTTTTCCCAGGTACTTCCTTGTTCTCTGATGGGCCAGTGACACTTGTTTTGCATGGCCGGAGTGTTTTTCTCACAAGTTGGCTTGGCTTGTGGCCGTGTGCTGGTGCCAGCAGGCCACTTATGGGTCACGGGGTAGAGAGGGATTGAGGGCACGTGTCAGATGTGCTGCTGTGATCGGAGCCAGGATTCGGTGTGACTCCATCTGCTGCCGTATCCCTGGCTTCCTAAGGCCTCATCCCGCTCGTGGGGGTGTCTGTCCCTCGGAGTGTGGACTGGGAGGACAGGGCCGGGTGGTCACCGTGGGCTCACGTCACAGAGCCCACCCACAGGAAGAGACAGGGCCCAGCCTGCAGGAGGGGCAGGGATCTCCCTGCAGCTCCTCGTCCCTGGGCCTCCTGCTAGGAGCCTTGGTCAGGGCTATGCAGCCAGCAAGTAGATTGGTGTTGCTGTGTCCTGGAGCCACACAGAGAGGAGCGAGATTTGCAGCACATCAGCTCACAGCCAGCTGCTCGGGGAGGAGCTCCTGGAGCGTGTGTGCTGACGCCATCTGCGTAGGTCCTTGGATCTTTACCGCGCTGCCCTGCGGGAGTGACGTGTGGCACGGGCTAGGGGACCGGAGCTCTTGGAAATGATGTGAGCTGAACTGTTTCCATTGCGTGTGAGACAGCGAGAGACAGGCAGACAGGTGAGCTTGCCAACCTATGAATGGCTTGCCTGGGTGGCAGCTGCTCCCTACTGCGTGTCACCTCCTTTGCTGCGTCCCCACTGTGTGTGTCACGCGCTGCTGCCTGCTGTGGGATGCAGAGATAAGCCAGAGGCTTGTCCCTGGGCAGCTTTAGCAAGAGCACCCGGCACAGAGAGAAAACACAGGGCTCCTTGCTCATAAATTATTGAAGATTTCTAGACGATGACAGCAGAGCGTGAAGCCACCTGTGGGGCTTCCTGGGACTGCAGCAGTCACATGCCCGTGCAGCTGCCCTGGTCTCCAGCGTCAGGAGAAGCCAGGCCTGGTAGACATCGGCTGAAGCTGCGGAAAGGCCCACATCTCCCAGTGGGGTGATGACGGCAGGTTGTTTCCAGGCGGGATCTGGGAAGCTCCAGAGCCTGGAGGGATAGCCAGGATGCCGGCAGGGGTGGTGAGCGTGCTGGAAGCACCCGGGCATCAGCGTGTGGTACGATGGCCGGGCCAGAGGCCTTGGGGGGACTGCACTGAGTCCTGCCGTGGAGACCCTAGACCGGCAGCTGCAAGGCAGCCAGGAGGTAGGTCTGGGGACACACAGGGGACACGCTCTGTGCAGGTGGCATTCACAGGGGCTTGAAGTGGCCGTGCCGGAGCTCCCCCGTGACCCTTCCATGTGAACTGTGGTTATGATGCTCTGCGTCGTAAGATGTTAAGATGAGGAAGCAGAGGGACACAGCGGTACCCTGTCCCTTGCCATGGAGGAAGGTGGCAGAGCTGGGACCCTTGAGAGCCCAGGTGAACTGGGAGGTGGCTGAGATGGCTGAGCCGCGAGAGGTGTTGGCAGTGGAAGGAGGTGAGTGTGAGAGGCAGGGCGTGGTGGGAGGACAGTGGACCTTGTGGCTGCTGGAGTCTCCCAGTCAGGAGTTCCACCAGCTGTCCTGTGTGGGCCACCAGTGCTGGCAGGAGCACCCCCAGTCGGGAGCTGCTTGCCGGTGTCTGGTAGACCTGCCAGGTGTTACCCCTCGAATTTGGCCCCCGTCTGCTTGGAGGCTTCCTCTTTTCCTCATTAGCGCCCTTTGGGCGTGAGGAGATGGTGTTCTCCCAGACTTTCTCAGCCTGCCATGTCATGGCTTTGTGCCGAATGCAGCACTGCAGGGGTGGATGGAGCCACCT